GAAGATGGAGTAGACTGCCTAAAACCAGCGCTTTAAACAGATTGCAGTCCCAAGAAAGACGCGAGGCAGTTGTGATGTCTATTGACAATTGTGTCATATGCAAAACAGAACACGAATGAACATGGACACCGCACCCACTTCTTGCAGTGCGCACCCACCCTGCCACCCAAAACCAAAAGACCCAAACGGGCCGAGAGTCGGCGCTCACGAGGATGGCATTCCGCACGAAGCGCCACGTTTGAGCATCCTGGCGGATCGCGGTCGGTGGTCGGTCCCCCGCGGCGATCGGTGTTGGTTTGGGGCGGTGTCGGTCGCCGTTCGACCGGAACTGGGACCTGTTGGGGTGCGCACTGTGAACTTCTTGGGTCCCAGCAAAATGGTGGGATAGTCCAGACTTTTTGGTCTACAGTCTCATGAGCGTTCAACCGTTCTGCTGGAACGTATTCTCCAGCTGCAACGGGTGACAAAACATGAGAGAGTCAAGTGTTTGTGTCAGCATGCCATAGGGCATTTTAAACATTTTAAACATCCAAAGCAAGCTCTCGCAATCCTTAGGACAGATTTAATGGTACAGCATCACTGATCTACCCCCGGATGCCCTTGCAACTGTAACTGTTTGGATTGTTTGGAGAATCCAGGACACAGGTCCTAGACTCTAGACTCTATCAGACCGTTGATTGATCAAGCACCCCAAAAAAAAAACATGGAGGATGTCAAACAAAAACCACCGCTTTGGAGAGCCGGAGCTTCTTCGGATCCACGGTCCGATGCTTCACCGCTTCACCGGGCGTCCTTGGGATTCCACTGATGATCGCGCAGCACTTGCACCGCGAGGATGCCCGCGTAGACCGCTGGATAGAGGAAGACCACGCCCAGGAGCGAGATCGCGAAGTAGTCCAACTGTCGAGGTTCAAGATGATCGTGGCGCCACACAGCCGGTGCGACTCTTAGAATGGCAAAGCACGATGGGATGTCTTTTTGGGGGGATAATGCTGTTGGATGGTCTTGGATGGTCTTGGAAGAACAAATCTCAGTGATGTCCAGATTTGGAGGTCCCACTGGACTCAGTGATGTCCAGAGATTGTCTCGAAGTTCAGTATTTCAGTGATGGAGTCAGCACCCGCCTTCATTTCACCGTGAAAGGTCCACACCAGCAGACCCCAGGCCACGAGAATCAACACCTGTTCGCTGCCAGTGACCCGGTGGTGCCCACATGCAAAGACCACTGAGACTGCAAGGGCCCAAGGTGGACACCCCAAACCCCTCGTTTCGTAGCTGGAGCAACTGCCACAGTTGTTTAGAAGGAAACATGAATACAATTGAATACATTGTCACGACTCATTTACATCATATGGAATGCACGCTAACTCTTCACATTTATAGAGTGGGGTGGAAAGGGTCTTAATTCCACATGTGATGAAATAACATAACATACCCATACAAAACCTGCAATACACAACCTGCACTTGATGGGCCCGATCAACTGGACCGGCCCATGAAGCGGCCCAGCTGCAATGAAGCCCCACAGGATCGGCTGGGCACGGTCCAGTTGCAAGGTGCCAAACCACAGCCTGGTGCATGTGAGGCTGAGTGGAGCCGGAATCGTCCCACACCGTCTGGGTACGCATCCCTACAGTAAGGGGCCTCGAGCCCCAAAGAAAACCTGAAAGATCCTGAAAGCCTGGGGAAGGCCTTGATGTTTGCATAGGTTTTTGGTAGGGTCGATCCAAGAGATTCCAAGACGATGCAATGGGCTGGGTAGAGGAGAAACCTCACATCCGATCACCCAATGCTCCACGTGATTCATTGGACTGGTTCCTTAAAACATTCCATTTTCCCTATGCAACCAAGAGGTTCTCCTGCAAATGTTCCCCTGCAACCACTCAGACTCATGCAGCGTCCATCCCCCCCGGCCGGTTGCTCATGAAGGTCAAGGCCAAGACCAGCACGGCCGCTGCAATGCTCCAGCCCACCCAGCGAAAGCGGACTTCAGAGACGAAGTGCAAGACCAAGCCCTTGGCAGACTTCGTCAACGACGTCAACGGAAAAGCCGGCAATCCTGTAGTTCAAACTGCTCAATGCATCTAGGCGCCTATCTGTGTTGAAAAGCTACCCTTTGAACCACAACACACTCAGGGCCGCACATAGGCAATGCAAAGAAGGAGTGTCAGGAGCCAAATGCGCACAGTCCATGGTACCTTCTGCAAGCATCGTTGGCACACGTTCGCCTCAAAGAACAGAGTGACGAACGTGGACAAAAAATCACCAATAAGATCACTAGCAAATTGTGAAAGTTCTTGAAATGAGGTCAGATCCTACCTGCACTCCATCCTCAACCCCATCTTTCCAAATAAGGTCAGCTCCTGGCCTGTACCGTTTCCATGCTGGAACCATCGCCTGTGTGTGGTAGGGCAAGCTGGGCAAGGCCGAGCCGTGACTCGGGACTCCAATGTCCAAAGTTAATTTGGTACAGTAGTTGCACTTTGGTATTATATATATATATATGTGTGTGTGATATCATATGATCATATGCCTTTGCGTCTTCCTTCATCTTGCTTCACCATTCGGACGGAATCTTGGCGAATTGAGGCTCATCAATGTTGAGTGTGGCACATGTCTTCACATCTGGTCATGGCCGAGTGCCCGTGGGTCACAGAGGGAGCGCAGTTCGGTTGCTGCTGTTGTTGCTGCTACTGCCGTCCTGGCCCTTAGACCTGTCACCTCACAAGTTCGTTGTGCCAGGCATGCTACTGATACCATCCATGAATGGATGGGATGAACAAATGAATAGAGTGGATCATCAAACACCACAGGCACTTCATTCCCGTGATTAGGCTCTTAGCAAACCAAGACAGATTGAACCGCAGTCATTGATCCCAATATCCCAGCTCAACTCCCGGCTCATCAAGAAAATGCAGTCTGAGCCTGCTGAGCCCGCTGCAGCTGCCCCAGCGTCACCTGCATCTGCTCCATCCGCCGCACCTCCAGCTTCTCCACCGTCACCGGCATCACCACCCGCTCCGGCGTCGGCATCGCCAGTGTCGCCGGCAGCAGGCACCACGCGAGCCATCTTGGGGTCACCTTTCTTCCTGCCAATGCGGAGTCTACCCGAAGATCACTGGAGTTACTGGAGGCTGGGCATGGCAGTGATGGTCATGTATTTCCCTCCCTCCCTCCCTCCCTCCCTCCCTCGTCGTTGGCTCACAACGACTTTCTCGTCACACGTGCCTGGGGGGTGAGAGATAGAAGTCATCCACCACCCAGCGGTGGTGGGCCGAAAAGAAGAGTCCAGCAATCAGTGGCAGAAAGCTCACGTGAACCAAGACCTGGCTGTGTGGTCCGCGGCCGGGTCCGCCAGAAAGGGGTTGCCTGGATCCATCCCGACATATTTGTTATCCGCAAAGGACTTTGTGTTCCTGGGTGAGGGAACAGCCCAATGAGTCCTGTGATGACAAAAATCGGAGATTTTGTTGGATCCTCTGGGCAATCTAGTGTAGTGGTCTTCTCGGGGGGGGTGGGAGTTGAACAGCTGAACACGTTCACACACTGAGGCTCCTGCATCCCTGCTTCAAACATCTTCAAACTGGACACTTGCTTTGACAAGCTTGATGTGGGGGCAAAAAAACTGCGAGTCCTCCCATATCCTCTTCTTAAGATAGTTTCAGATAGCTTAATGGCACATGGCAGTTGCATGTAATGAATTCCCACGGTCGATATCACTCCATCTTGAATAATTACCGTGGATTACCCACCCTGTTGTCACAAGGTGTCGCCAATGCTCCACTCATGTCACACTGCAGCCAAGGCGCTGCCCAGCTGTCAACCACCCAACTTGTATATGTAGCGACTGCGATCCAGAAGAGGTATGACAAGACCTTGAAGAGTTCACTCAAGAAGGGCCGAACACGGAAGTTGCAGCTTCTTGCTAACGTTTACTAATTACATACATACTGACTTCTAATATTGCATAGACCGCCAGAAGCCTCCCCGTGCCCCCCATAAGAAAGCCAATGCCACGTGTCGCATGCCCCTCCACTTCCAAGGATTCCAAGGCACCAGGTAGAGGGGCGCTGTCTCCAGCAGCGGCCCCTTCTTGCCGACCGCCTGCCACTTGGACTTCCGGAAGGCCAAGAAAGAGATGGTGAAGACGCAGCCCAAACCCAAGGCCACACCTCGCGCGCATCTTCAGACGTGGCACGGAGAGAATGTGGATATTGTGGGCTACATGCAACCAAAATCTCAAGTGGCTGATGGGCTGGCGATTCGGAATCTTAACGGCAGCTGAGCAGAATCACACCTGTCCTGCAGCCATCTTCAACCCCAATGGCCTGCATAGTACTGTTGTTCCCTAGCATCACAAGTGTTGCAGAGAGAGATCGGTGGCAAAGGGAATCCTTGGCTGATCGGCATTGGGAGGGTGACCCCTCCCAATGAAAAGAAAACGTCTAGTCACAACTCACCAACGCTGCAGGAGCTCGTAGAGTAACCAAAGCCACTTCTCCAGCAAACAGGACCAAGAGAGCCACAAGCAGCCACCTTGGCACCAAATGGTCATGCAAAACGCATTGGTGCCGCTTCATCGTTCAACCTTTGGCCACAAAATCAGCAAGAACCTGTTGCACGTCCGTGCACCCGTTTCCAACCACCAAGCACGCTCTCAGCCAAGTGCAGCACAGGCGAGCATACGGCACTGACTCAGTCTAAGCGACACAGGATGGAGATACAAAGGCAATTTCTTCTTCTTCTCCGTGACCGTCACCGCCGGTGCCACTGCGGCCTTCGGCCAGATGGCACGAAGGCTGGCACGAAGCTGACACGATCCAGGTGTGTGCAGACCCGCGCGACCCCCCTTACGACCTTATTATATCTTATCACAAGTCAGCATGGTATCGGCTTGGTCTGCCTCGTGTGAAGCTTCGGCCTAAGCACCTTCGGCAGTGCTTGCAGGTCGCTTTTGATGGGGTGAAGTCTTGTAAATCGTCTAGAGACTCAGCCTGGGCTCAGCCCGCCAGGGTGAAATCGATCCCTCGGCATGTTAGAGATGAGGCTTGCTTGGCCCAGTGGCCCAGCCTAGACAAAGAAACAGCCCAGTCCCCTGACCCGACTGACGGCAGTCCCCCCTGCGCCTCATCTCCTGCATCAGCAGCACCTGACATATCAATCGCGAGGCTATCCCCACATGCCTTTGGCCTCCTTCTTAAAACCAAGTTATCGCACCAGAAAGTGCTACTCTCACACTTCCACACATTACTATCGGCCTTCAACAGCTTCTGCAGCCCTTCAAACATCATCCAACACTCTCTCAACATATCATCGATTTGGATCCACCAATGTCGTTTCACCAGCTCACCCCACTTGGGCCTCTCCCACATGTCCCACGTGCACCTCCGGCTTCGCCTCCCCCCACCGCCCGAGTCGGCCATCTTTGCTTGGAGGGTTTGAAGAATCTCCGCGGCTGCATGCTGGCGCCTCACCTCTAGCGACCACCCAGAGCGGCCCCAGGGCCGAATCACGCAACAAAATCCGCGTCTAAAAGGGCTCCAGGCAAGTGTGAGACAGAATGTGGCATGCCAAGAAAAGCTACATTGCTGTGACCATTCGCAGAGTCGAGCAATTATGAGGAACTCTTCAATGGTGCTGTTGTGTTCTGTTGAAGATTGTTGGAGTATATGTGTATCTATATATATATATAAATATATATATATATATATACACAATTACCATTTCGCGTTTGGCCTCTATTGTAAGTTTCGGCTGTGCCTTGGGGCTGTCAGGAGCTGGCACCAGCATATCCACCGTGACATAGCCCACACGCATGACCATGGCAAGGAAAACTCCTGAATGACCTGACAAAGACCCGTTGAGAGCTGCTTGCTGATCAGGTCATGGAGAGATTACAAGGTTACAAGGAGTTACAGATTGAGTCTTTTGTGAGTCATGCGTTGCGTCAGGCAAACCACCTAAATCAACCTACAGTGCATCCTCTTACTTGGGTCGCAGGTCTTCAGGTATTAACCGAGCAAAGCCTGAGACTTCGAGCGAAGCCCCTCTCGTCTCTCATCATTTCACTCCAAGGCGCCCATGAGCCAGTAGTCTTCGCCCCACACGCAGGCCGACACGCGCGCCAGCACCATGAGCACAGCGGTCTCGGCGGCATCCGTCACCAAGCCCAGGTACCACACGTGCCAGACCTTGGAGCGGAGAGATCAGCGGAGAGAGAGCGAGAGAGAGAGAGAGAGAGAGAGAGACGAGAGACGAGGACGAGGACGAGCCCGCTGAAACTGTGGTGGGAGGTTCCGTGATCTTGAAGCACTTCTACAAAAGGAAAGCTGATGAAGGTCAGTGTGGTGGGACCACTTCAAGATCCCTCACAGCCTTCACAGCCTTACATGAGGCTTGATTCGCGATGACATATCAAAGCGACCCAATGCCCTGCCTGGTGGTCGTCCAGTCCACGAGGCCCCCCGTTGTGCGCAAAAAAGATATCTGTCGCAGCTGTCCAACCTCTCCCCGAAAACCCACCAAAACCTACAGCAAAACCCAACAGCACTCATTCCCTGTTCCAAATTGTGACTGTCACAGTGTAGTAGCTCAACATAGCTCAACCAGATTATCCGGATTCAACTTGTCATCGCCCCCAGATCACGAGCACCTGGCTCCCATCTCAGGTCCATCCCACTCAGCCCACCACGCTCGGCCGACTCAGCCTGTATGCTGTGGCCCCCAGCCATGGCATCCAGGATTACGACGCCAATCACCAACACGAAGCCCACGTTCTTCACCGCTGGTCGACTGTCCAACATGTAGACTGCCAGACCTGCAGGCGGTCTAAAGCTGATTGGAGTGAAACAATGTCCCTGGAGTTGCGCACATTCAGGTCACCCCTTGGTGATTCTATCGGATCTTTTGTGTGGGTTGGAGACTGACATCTGCAGGATCTTCGACGCACTTCAACGCACATCGACTGACATCTTTCGACAGGCTGTGGGTCAATACTGGGACACCCTGGGTTTTTCCCACCAAGAATGAACAGAATAGACTACCTACGAGGTTAACCTACCAGTTTGGGGCGGGTTTTGACCCACTGCCATCTCGAGTTCTGAGTTCTGCCCGTCTCTGGCCCACTGGCTGAATTGTCAGATCAGCAGCCGAGTGCCAAGTGCAGTCAAGTGGCCGTAGGCTGCCAAGATGCCCAGCTCCACGATAAAGAGCGAGACAATCAAAGCGATTCTCTTCCAACGAGTCTCGGGTAGTGCAGACCTGTAGCAAGCGACCGCAACCGATATCAAAGTTCATTTGTTTTGTTGCCTTTCTCTTTCTAGATGTTTCGGATGTTATAAAAAAAAAATAAAAGCCCGGAGGGGGTAGGCCTTAGAGGTGAGGTAGGTTAGCTAGGGAGGTAGCTAGTAGAAGCTAGGTAGCTACTACATACAAGTAGCTACTACTTAGGACGCGGGATAGCTCACGCTTCTTCAAGGAAGCTCCGCCCCGCCGCCCCAAAGGTGGCCGGGAAGCTTCCTTGAAGAAGCGCTCGCACTAATGATTTGGTTCCTAGATTATTTTTGTGGAAACGTAGGCATGAAGACTGACCACGAGCTAGAGTCAAAACGCCATACTTGGAATGTTGGCCAGGCCCACCAGGCGAAAAGAACATCGGTTGTGAGCCTAATGACTACTTTTGTAATGACTACTCTAACTCCCTCCAGTTCCTCAAGAGATGCCAAGAAGCGGGGAGCGCATCTCTTCCTGTGCGATCAGGCGAGTGCCGCCGGGGCAAGGCTCTCAAGGAGGCATTAATGGTCTTAGGTGGCCACCACCTGAAGTTACTCAGCAACTCTCAGCTGGTACAAGTGACTACTAATTATTACTAATTATCCCAGACAGGTCCTGAACTTCATCGTTACGGCTTCTATGTGACCCGATCTCATCCTGACCCCTCCACGAGACATGACATGAGACTTCATCGCATGTACCAAAGCCTAGTCGGTCCCTGCACTCTGATGGCCTGGGCGGCGTGTCTTCCCGAACGGCCCACACCACCCCCCCTCCTCGTCCGATAAGACCGCGAGGACATGCCGGCTGCTCTGCCACTTCCCAAAGAGGAAAGCCAAAGTGATACTCGGCACGGCGCTGACGGTGAGCATCACCACCTGGGCCCATTGAGCGTCCATTGGCAGTTTCCCCTTGAATGAGCAGCAAAAGTCAAACCCCAAAGGACTGACCATCCAAAAGAGAAATGTCAAAAACAACTCATGATGACTCATGTGTTCTGGCCCCTCATCTATCGCGCCGGGGCCTCAAGCTCATGCATCCAAAAAGTCTCCAGCATAGCGACCGTTGGGATCGGGGTCTTCTCCACTCAAAAAGGTCACGTGGCTCCCACGTCGGACGAGACACAGAGGTGGCGGTGAATTCGAAAGGCTCAACAATCCACACAAATTGGCAGAAGAAGCCGCCAAAGGTGAAGAATGTGAGCCTCGGGAACCCACTGCCGAAGGTGGCCAAGCTTTAACGTACTTGCCGAAGCTTTCTGTACGGTTGCCTTCCCTGCAGCTAGAGATCGTTCCAAAGCCAACGGCGAACCAGCTGAAGTAGAAGGAGTCCGCAATGGCACGGCCCAAGGCAAAACTTCCAAAGTACACCGTGGCCGCCTTTCCCGGGAACAACAAATAACAAATGATAACAGCGTCATCTTGATGTGGGGTTCAACATGTTCAATGCATTCGTGCACACGAGTTTTCAGGCATACCAAAAGTATCGTCAAGAATGTTACAGGAATACCTAGTGACCTAGTGAAGCTGCTAGTGCAGCATACAGCTGTAGCACAGCTGAGCACACAAAGACATGGTGCCATCCGAGCCGCAATGAGGCTGCCTAGTGAAGCCAATCGCCAAGAGTCGTTGGCAACCTTGACAGCATGGCAGGTCGTGGCACAACCCTGGAAGTCTCCATAAAGTGCCGAGCCTGTTGCGCAGCCACAGCAATGAGGCCGATGGGGACAACCAATAGGAATAGCATCAGCCACCTCAGCTTTTGCACCGAATGTCGGTCAAATGAGTAATATAGCTGGATATAGTTAGCTTCATCAACACTCGAAACATGCTAACTCCTTTAAACATGATGCAGCTCGGGGAGTACTATTCATGACATTACGTGGAGGTCATTATGATAAACTTGACGCAACAGCTGCAAGCTGCTGGAGGAAAGTTCCGATCCATGAGAAGGCAGCCTGGACGGGATTCAATCATCAGCTCTAAGTGATTCAATCATCAGCTTCGTGTCTGTGAAAATGTGAGCCCAATCTGGACCATGTCCTGCCTGAGCTTTATAGCTCATCGACTACGAGACAGGTTCTGAGACAAGGCATCAAACCAAATTATTCCAGCATTCAGCCTTTGCCACTCTTCGCGTTTCAAGCCTTCTCGGACGATAAGGTCAAACCATAGTTTGTTGGCTTCATCTCCTCCTAGCCTAGCTCTCACATTCTCACCACATCTGTGATTGACAAGATGACATCGCCTAGCTTGTGCCTGCATATGCCATTGAGGGGTGCGCGCACGGCACACGGCAAAAAGTCAACCATATAATTTGCCTTGCCTTGCCCAGGCATTTCAAGTTCGCCGCCATCAACATGTTGATGCGATACGTGGCTCGCCACATCAAAACGTTCACCAGCAGTGCTGCCCTTGGCTTTCCCAAGGCCCCCCGCAAAGACACTGGAGGCAGTCTTCCAGTCGAATCGAAGCACGGACCTTTGCTGTTTCTGCTTCTACTCCAGGGTCTCTCACTTCTTGCCCCAAGTGGCAGTAGCGCTCCTCCAGCAAAGCCAACCCCCATGATCCTCAGCAAGGGCCATGAGAGCTGTTTGACTGGGAACCTCTGTCATGACCAGGGGCTCAACCCACCGACGGCGTGGCCAGTGGCTCTTCACAGATTCATGACGACACTCCGGTTATGCTGCCGTGACACTCTTGGCGCGTGATCTCCCGCGCTGTTACCTTAGGGGTTGTGATCATCAGTTCTCGACGGGTGTTTTTCCATGTTCTTCCCAATTACTTTGGGATTGATGCAGATCAGCCAGGGTAATGTAGACTGTTGATTAACAAAGCCTCCCATACAAGCTGGTTTTAACAACCCAAAAAGTCTACATTACCATCCTTGTCTGATGCAGACCAACCCCCCCGAATTGTAGACTCATATGCACCCTGCATACCCGCATGTTTGTCGAGGCCATTGAAATCCTGGACAGGTGCAGCTGTCACGTTCGTTCCGTTGATGTCGCCCGTCGTGGTGGTCATGCTCGTTGTGGTGTTTACCTTGCGCGGACGCGGTAAACAGCGGCAGCACAGTTCGCATATGTTGTGCTTAGGCTTCTTTATAGCGCAGAGTTCACATCTGAGATCAGCTTGAGCTCACCTAATATACAGTGCCATGACCACAAATCGTAATATACATGCTATGCTATGTCATTGCATTGTTTTTCTATGTTTTGCATAAGGCACGGCCTCTCAACTACATACGCCCCTGGGTTCCCAAAGTTCATCACAGGCTTTGAGGTGAGGATCTTGCAGTCGACGATCCCATCCTTCAACCTCATCGTCGTCAAGAAAAGCTGCACGCAACCCTCGGACCTCGCAGTGTGCCAAGCAGCACTCTGAACACTCTGAGAAGGTCTGGGAGAGGGCGAAGCTAATTTTTTGGGGAAGATTAAGCAACCTCAACCATAAACTATAATATAAAGTCGGCATTGAACTGCGAACAGGCTCATCAATCTATCTGACGCATTCTGACGCAACGGACCATACCTGGGTTGCTCGTAGTGCTGGTTCAGAACCTTCTGCCAAAACTAGCAGAAGCAGCAACTGAAGCAGCTTCATCTTGGGTGACATGGCAAACTCAAGTTCTTGCAGCAAAGTTGTGATGTCTTTTTCTTCAGTTTGGTCATGAGACATGAAGAAGGTCGAAATGCCACACCTATTTATATACAGTATGTATAGTGTTTTGTACCATACCTACCTATAATCTAATAATGTCCTTTTCGTGTCCTTGATCACTGCAGCGTGGTGACAAGCTGGTGAATTGGTGACACTGCACGGGCCGAAATGATACATTCCACAGCCTGTACGCAGGAGAAGGTGCACTGAATGAATGATCCCACGGAAAAAATGTGACAAACAGAAAAGCGGGGGGCATGTGTAAGGACGCATCATATTACTTGATATTACTTGTTAAAAAGCTGTAAGAGAGTACCCAAATAGCTCCAAATAGTACGTACGTTGGTGGTGCACTAGAGTACCCTTTCTGGATAGCAAGGAATCGGTAGTCATTAGTGAAAGGGACCTCCCTCCTGGTTTAGCGCACCTGTTCGGCCAGGGCTGCTAAGCCTTCCTGACGGTTCACTGTGACACCTGAAGGACAAGGGCTTAAGGAAGGAAGGATTCCACATGAATCCATCTATCACGAACGGGAAAATCCATGACAGCAAAATTTAAGGATAGTTGAGGCATGGATGTTCATGCATGCTCACCAAACATCTCTCTGTCTGCAGCGCTGTACAGTAGTATCGTCCCGCAGTGAAGCAGGTCCGCTTGAAATGGCAGATTTTGCAATACAGCTTAATTACGCTACTTATATATATATATAAACATATATATTATATATAGCATCTATTCTGTGCATGGTTCTGTTTCGGGCCCTGCAGTGGCCCGCTCTGAATCGAGTCTTCGGAGTCGGACCCTGCTGACAAATCCGGGACCAGCGTCTGAGGTGGCGGACGCAGGTCCGCGTGAACGCGCCAGGAGTTGCCATCCGCGTATTGCCACGACTAGCACGATTCGGAGGCATGGAATCAACGGGGGGCTTGTGGGGTGTGTGCTTCGTTGGCCGTCTCGTCCAGTTGAGACGTCTAGGAATCATGCAAAAGTTGAAGACTAAGATGCCTCTTGAAAAGGCCTAGTTCCACAAAAAAAATGCCATGCAAAAGACAATGCAAGACTGCTCTGCGTGATCACATCTGAACCTGTATGTATACCTGCTGATGCTCTCCATGGACCCAAACCTCCATCTCATGAGGTGGACGGCCATAGTGAGGTGTGGAACATTGCAGGAGGCCCAGGTTCTTCTGGACCTCAGGGGCTCGTCATGGCCCAAGACAATTAGCTTTAATATGATCGTATTAAAGATATGCAATCAGCTGCAAAAATATGAGATCATTCGTGATGTTTCTGGATTCAAGGCCAGTTGATGGAGCATACTCACGCATCATGAGAAAACTACCTTGGGTCCCGACGTCTGCTTCTTTGGTCGCCTTGGTGTGGGCCACATCAACACCAGAACATCAGGGCAAAGGCCTTGCTCAAAAAGCCTTCTTGCCGCACAAGTTGCCACACACCATAAGCCTCCTAAGCCGTTGCTATACCTGAGCCGGAGTTCACACAATAAAGGGCAGAGGGCCAGGAAGTTTGCATGGAGGGTAAGGAAGTAGGAAGATCTACGAAAATTGTGTGAGAAACATAAATGTCCACGATGAGATCCTTTAAGTTTGGGCCGAGCCGCAGGATGCCATTGCCTCCCACCTGTCGCCAAACTGCTTGGCCTCGCTCGACACGTGCCGGCCTCAAGTTGGCCGGGAGCACGCGTCGCCCGCACAGCCGGTTTGGGACCAAAAAAGGGCCCTGGCTTGGAAAAGTTGTTTTGTTAAAAATGGCGAAGGATTTGTGCTTTTTTCCAACTCAGTCCCCAGTGCAAGTGGCTCATGTGTGGCCTATAGTCCACGTGAGCCCATCAGCCAGCTGGCTCATTTTCGTCAGGGCCCGTATGGGTCAAGGACCTGTATGCTGTGGGCGGAACACTTCATTTTATGCCACAACGTTGCCTGCTCTAGTTACTGTTGACGCGCCCTCATCCAACATATCGAACCCTACCCCGAGGAGATCGCTGCTTGGCATACTCTCCCTGAAGGTTCGGCTTCGGCGGGCAAATGACCCAGACCTCGTCACGGCAAACATCACACCTGGGGTGGAATGACCACAAGAGAAGCAACAGGATGCGTTCCCTCTCTATATCATGTGTATATATATATATCATTATATATCCATATATCATATATTCTGCAAATCCAGTACAGGATTGCATGTGCAGTTCCCCAAAGCATGGAGTTCGCCCATTCGCTGAAACTCTCTGGAACTCTTGACTCCATCCATGCCAATGTGCTTCTGGTCTGCCTGGTTGCATCCTGCACGCTTAGGTTGTATAGGTTGCGAAGATTTGGAACTCAAATTTCACACAATTGATAACAATTGATAAGAGAAACCCAAACATTTGATCAATCCTCCGCGCCAAATAGTTAGGGTCTCTTCGGACCACTCAAGCTGGCCAGACTTGAAGCCGGCCACTACTTGTTGATCTCTATAGGTGCATGGGATTTCAGGCTAGGTCTGACCCCGTGATGTCCCAAAACCCCACTGCTCTCGCCAAACGGGCCCCGCCAACCTTCTCGGGCGCATGGTCCGTCCGCTTGAGGGCCTCCCTTTGCTGCTCAGCCATGCGCCGTTGGGCCTGGCAGCGACATCGAGGTAGGAGAGGAGTCTGGCGGATGTGGGGGTTTTGGTTGGTGTCTATCTCCAAATTTGCCTGTGTTTATGGGAAGTTTCTCACAGGAGGGGAGCGACCCCTTCCGAAGACCAGGCAACATTTTTTCTATCAGAGATGGGTCTGGCAAGGTGGCAGGAAAGTGTGCCAAGTAAGAAAAGCACCAGGTGCAATGGACAAAACAGGAAGCAAAAAGCTGTCCTCTGCTTGCTTCTCCTGCGGCTGAGGCTGGGAACAGAGGCAAAGCGCAACAAACAGAACACTTACTAAGATCAAATCATACATAAGTGCTAAATACTTGAGAAACTATGAGAATGGTTTTGTATCTCCATGTGTAGGGGTGTGTTAATCAACCTTTTATATTGCACACGTTATACCAGTTGCCCTTCTATGGGTTCTAATTGTATGGGTGCGTGATGCGTGTTGGCATGTTCCGGCCTAAAAGTAACAGAGACCCCTAAAGGTAAGCATCTCCAAATGATTGCCGCAAAGGCGCCGTCACAAAGATGTTTGGATCCAACTGCCAAGAGCCCTGACAAAAGAATTGCCATTGCCTCAAGAGCAAGAACTCAACCTCAACATAGAAGCATGCAAATGCTGCAAATGTATTGTTATTGCATCGATCAGTTGCTTTGTTGTTTGGAGCGCTCTACTTTTGGTTGGCTTGGCTGTTCTTCCACGTCTCTTTTGGGATCAAGCTGCTCAATCCGATATGGCGGCTCGCCATTGTGCTGTGAGGCCGTCGCCATCACACTGCCTAGGACTATATACGATCGCAACTTCAAGAGAAAAACAACATGTCTCCATTGGGTTGTGCAATGGATGCGAAATGCAAAACTGTTTGCAGCGTGAAGAGTCTGACATGTTCATACCACACTTGCCGCCCGTCTTGGGGTCTACTTTGATTATATTGAGAGGTATGTGGCATACAGCAAAATAGTTTCATTGACACGGACGAAAAGCATGCCAAATTCTTGAGTGAAAGTTACCCCAGGTGACAGGAGCTTCCATTCCAGGACATACATCAACAAAATCGCAGCCAGCCAAAAGAGTGTGCTAAGTTCCCCCACTGTTGCTCGCAATGCCATCCTCAAAATCCTCATGTTGCATCACCGGGTCTCACGAGATTCACCGCAGGCAACTGTGCCATGTATATATACATGTTCCTCTTCTGGACAACTGGTTAGACCAGGAGAAATGGAGAAAACAGAATCGTGGATGCGATCCGAACATCTGTGGTGGCAAATCCTACAGCTGTCGCACCACGAGGTCCGAGATCCATGCGGTGACATTCCAACGACCTTTGCTGCTGCTGAAGATCCAGCCTCGCTTGTGAGGCTCAGTACAAACATGACCCCAAGCCTTCACCGTACCCCCACCCAAGCACCGTTTTAGATAGGGAACCTCTGAACTGTTCTTTTGCTGGGTTCCCAATCTTCCCATCCTGCCCCTCTGTTTGGCAGAGCATCATGAAACAATGACACCAGTGGAACTCCAAACCCGCCCAG